CGGCCAGCACGCCGCAGCTGACCCCGGGGACCCGCCGAATGACGGCCCGCACTGCCGCAACTGACCCCGGGGAGCGCTGGACGCACTTCATTCCACCCTCTACTGCCCGGCCGGGCCGGATTTATTGGCAGCTCTCGGCAGGGTAGTCAGCCACTGGCGGCGCTTTCGGTGGGTGGGGAGGGGCGCAGCCCACACCCCTCGGGCAACAAACTCAACAGGCGCCGACAAGTACGGCCGTCGGCGAGATAAAATGGTCCCGCCACAGGTCAGAACTTGAGAGGGGCCATCGACCCTCTGTGACGCAGCCAGTGGAGCGGCTCTCTCCGGCCGGAGGCCGTGCTGTTCTGTGGCCTGATGCAGCCAGTGGAGCGGCTCTCTCCAGCCGGAGGCCGTGCTGTTCTGTGATGTGACGCAGCCAGCGGAGTGGCTTTCTCCGGTTGGAGGCCGTGCTGTGCTGTGATGTGACGCAGCCAGTGGAGCGGCTCTCCGGCCGGAGGCCGTGCTGTTCTGTGATGTAATGCAGCCAGTCGAGCGGCTCTCTCCAGCCGGAGGCCGTGCTGTTCTGTGATGCGACGCAGCCAGTGGAGCGGCTCTCTCCGGCCGGAGGCCGTGCAGCGCTGTGCGCGGGATCAATACGCTCGGATCTGCCGGTGAGTGGGCGGCCGGACGGTCACCGACAGGTTGTCGCGCCGCGTGACTCGATAGTCGCGCACGGCCTCCACGCTGCCGGCCCCGAGATCCACAGGTGTGGAACCAGGCTCCCCAGGACGGGACTCTCCATTTTTCGCGAAGGTGTGACATTGACCCTGTGTTGATGTCTCCCGTAGATTAACTTTGAAACTTTTACCACCACCACGCATGCGCCTTTAGGGATGTTCCCACGCGGTCCTAGGACTTGTGGGTGAAGGCGTGGCACCTCAAGACCAGGGCTGAGACATTTCATAGAGACCTGGCACCGACACCATTCCGGCATCCGTCAGGGTGCGTGAACATCGGGAGCCGGCAAGACTCAGCTTGTGCTGAAATCATACGCGCCAACAGTTGCTGTTGTTGGCAAAGACCGGACTTTGTCAACCTCGGCAGGGTTTCAGCACGCTCAACCCTGATGCACTGCCGACTGCTGACAACGTGGTGCTAAGATGATCTTTTCCACCCAAAACTCACGTGTGGATGACCCCTCTGGCTACGATCCACGTGATGTCATCACCATCTCGGACCCGAAACCCACGTGATGTGGCAATCAGCCTCGTGCAAAGTTCCGCTCTCGAAGGCGACCCTGCCTGTTTGCTTTAGGACACATGCGAAAGCAGGACAAACAGTTTGACACCCCGACGTTTGATGATTCACTTGTTTGGTGGTCCTCTCCTACCCAGGAGCCGCTTCAGCCGGTGATCATTCCGAACCAAGAGCATCATCTGACAGCAGCCATGCTTGACCGCCACCCTCCGAGCCAATGACCCACGCTGACCTACACTGACCCACGAGCCCACGGTTACTCACCAGCGTCGGCGGGCGGCGGCGGCGGTGGTTGCAGGGCGGCGGCCGGCGGCCCGCCCGGCCCGGGGAAGCGCGGTCCAGCCGCCCTCAGGTGCGGAGGACCACCCCGCAGCGGGCGCGGACCGCGCGCGCCCGGCGGTCCGGCGCCGCGCACGAACCGCGGGTCCCCGGCGAGCCCCGCAGGTCGCTGGGGCCCGCCGGGTCCGCCGGGCCGCGGCCCCCGCAGGCGCGCCGGTCCCATGTGACGGGGTGGCGCCATACCGGGCACGACTCCTCCCGGCTGCGGCACTGGCATGCGTGCGTGACCGGGGGCGGTGGGGCCGCGGCGCGCCGTGCGAGCCGGGCCCGGCCCCCTGGCCCGGCTGGGGCTCGTCCGTGCCGATCACCGTGTTGATGAGCTTGGAGGCGAAGTTGAACATAGCACGGCACTGGCTAGGGCCGGGGCAGTGCTGGCAGGCCGAGCGGCCGGTCCCCCTCTGGCCATCGGCGCGCGGCCCGGGTCAGAGCGAGTCACACATGTGCACGCGCGGACGCACTGGGCGGGAGAGCGGCGCGCGGCCGGCGCCGCCCGGCTGCCCACCAAAAACCGCGATGGCGGCCGGCCCCGATCGACGCCCTCGACACTAGCGCCATAGATCGATAGCGGAGCTCGGCGAGAACTGTGACGTCACCAGTTCAGGTGTCGCCTGATTAATCATGCCTGATTGCATCTGCTTAGCAGCTTAGCTAATTAAGCTCGCACCTGGATGGGAGCGTTTTCTGCTTTTTCGACACGGAGTGATGGTTATTTATCAAAGAAACGGGTTAGCATTGCAACCCGATGGTGGTACATAAGGTCACAAAGAGACTGCGATATTCAACCACCTCATGGATGTAGCTTTGCTGGTTATTTAGCTTTGGTATATTGGCGCATTGGCACGTCATTTCATAGCTTACGGCCAAGCTGGACCTAGTCCTGCCAGCAAGGCAAAAGATCGCCAAGGCCTAACTTTCCCTGCTGACGGTGCTGTAAACAGACAAAATGAAGCTCTTGGAAGACGTTGGAAGATTAAAAAAGTCGCAACTATAATAGGGTTATACCTACCAGGGTTCAACGGAAATTAAAATAATCCACAAGCCAAGAATGCTCTGTTTTCAAAGTCATGGTATGTCCATCACTTGGCTATTGCAGCGTGGATTTGACGGTCAGTGGATACATAATGGGCAGAATAAGACACTAAATTCATCTAGCAACTTTTGCCTCAAATACCTCACACTGCCTACCAACGGCACATCCCAACACGCCATAACGAAGACATTGACAAAAAATTAGACGTTCTGCCCCCACCATGAAAGCTCATCGCTTTCCACCAGCAGCCATTCACTCCTGGTACTGCGCGTCCCTGAAAAATTTCCATGAGATCCATCACAAATGTTTCATACACTCGGAGCAAGCTTTACTTGACAACTGGTTGCCTTACTCCTGTTGACAATGCCATCTGACGAGTATATTAGTGGCGTTTACCGAGATCTTCAGGTAGATTTTTCTGTATTTATATCTCTTCCAGACTTAAAAAATACGACCTCTTTCGACCTCTACTGCCTGCCTCTGTGCTCAGTCAGGAAAAATGCAATCATTTCGTTTCTTGCCGTCCACCTTATTTTGGTAACAAATGTGTTCGGGAACAAAATTTGTCTGGAAAGTTTAATCTTAAGTTATTTTATAT